AAGAAAAATTCCATTTACAATAGGATTAAGAGAATTAATTAAATTAAACTAGAAACCTGAAAATCATTTTAAGAGGAAAGGAACATTAAGTTACAGATCTTTTATAGTATATAATAGTATTTCCAAACAGATGGAGGAATTAATATAAATGGAGATAAAGTACAGAACTAGATACAGTTATACATACAGAAACATGTAGACATAGATAATAAATCTAAAGACAAATGTACATCTATAAGAAAGTTGTGATCACAAAATTGTGTTATAGGATTATGGGTTGCTGAGTTCATTCCAGATTTTTCTTTTGAAAATTTCTATTTTCTACAAAAACAAACCCATAGATTTTTGTCAAATGACAACATGAAATGTGGACCACAGGCTATTTTTCTCATGAAGGAAGTTTCAAGTTGAAAATATTGAAAAGGACTTAGGGCTCAAGAGAGGGTCACAGAGGAGATGACATGAGAATTAGATATTAAAAGAAAAACAAGCATTTTCTACAAGTCTTGGAAGGTTCTTAAGGCAAAGTTGAGGTTCACATAGAGTCTGTCTTGTCTTGGGCAAGAAAAAGTGTGTGGTCTGGTGTGTAAAGAGAGCTAAATGCTTTGAATGCCCTCTGGGGAGCAAATCACAGAAAAGCACAGCCTGATATAGAGACTGTGTGTATGTGTGTGTATGTATATGTTTATATATTTCGTGTTGGTTTTATTAATATTTATTATTTTAAGTAGTTATACAAAGGAGGCGCTATTTAACAAAGCAGTTTATGAATGCAATGCATCTTGATCAGTGTTACCACCTCCTTCAACATTCTCACTCCCTTCAACCCACCCCTTCCCTTACTTTTCTTTTGTTGGTGGTGGTGGTGGTGGTGGTGGTGGTGGTGGTGGTGATGGTGGTGATGGTGGTGATGGTGGTGCTTGAACGTGGGGCCTGAGCTCTGTCCTTGAGCTCTTTTTGCTCAAGGATAGCACTCTACCATTTTGAGCCACAGCACCACTTAATGGTTTTCTGGTGGCTAATTAGAGATAAGAGTTTCATGGACTTTCCTGCCTTGGCTGGCTTTGAACCACAATTCTCAGCTCTTAGCCTCCTGAATAGCTAGGATTATAGACATGAGCAATTAGCACCCAGTTTAATTTACTTAATTAAGTAAATTTTGAGGTATATACAATGAATTCATGAATGCATCCTTCACCTTCTTCCTCCAAATGTTGTTATTATCTTATATATATACTATTTATGTCAGTTGAAAATTATGAGGGACCAAGATCATGGAACATAATTTTATCCTACTTCTACAATAAAATAATATGCAAAGATGAAGTAGGCCCATTAGAAACAACTTCTTACTCTGTCAACAGATCATTAACTGGACTGGGTGTCAAAATAGGACCGGTTTGTAGCCAGCTTCACACAGAGTGGACAGAGCACTGCTTGGCTCCCTTTGAGAGCTTCTTAGAATGTGAAAGGCAGGGGAGAATGTAATCATCTCAATTTTTAGCCTTTAGGAGAATTCCAACAACCAGTATGGGCCATCACATGGAAGCCATAGCAAGCTTAGGAGCTACTAGTGGTTGGCAGCAATCCAGTAAAACTAAGTTCTATAACACTCACATCCAGGAAGCTTTACTGACTGACATAATCTGCACTGTCATTTCAACGATTTTTATCTTCACAAATCTGCAGTTTTTGTATGTGTCAGTCCTAGGGCTTGAACTCAAGGCCTGGGCGCCATCCCTGAGCTTTTTTAGCTCAAGGCTAGCTCGCTACCACTTGAGCCACAGCCCCACTTAGCAGCCTTTTTGGTAGCTCATTGGAGATAAGAGTTTCACAAGCTTTCCTGCCCAAGCTGACTTCAAACTGCAATCTTCAGATCTCTACTTTGAGTAGCTAGGATTGTTCTCAGCATCTATGAAAAACTGGGGCTTGAACTCAGAGCCTGGACACTGTTCCTGAGCTTCTTTTGCTTAAGGCTAGCACTCTACTACTTGAGACACAGTGCCACTTCCAGGCTTTTCTGTTTATGTGGTACTGAGGAATTGAACCCAGGGCTTCATGCATGCTAAGCAAGCACTCTACCACTAACCCACATTCCCAGTCCTCTTTTTTTTCTTTTTTGTTGGTTGTGGGGCTTGAACTCAGGGCGTAAGTGCTGTCCCTCTGCCTCTCTGTGCTCAAGGCTAGTGCTCTACCACTTGAGCTACAGCTCAAGATTTTGAGTGGTTAATTGAAGATAAGAGTGTCACGGGGACTTTTCTGCCCAGGATGGCTTCAAGCCTTGACCCTCAGATTTCAGCCTCCTGAGTGGCCAGGATTACAGGCCTGAGCCACCAGCTCCTGGCTAATGTGCACTTTCTTAACACTTTGCTCACATTTATTCTGGCCAGAAATAAATGAAATACACTTTTTTTAATTTTGAGAAAAGCACCTATGCCAAAAAAAAAAGTGGAAAACAGAGATAAAAGTTTAGGGCAATTGCTTTTACCATAACATTATTGATACTAGCAACCATTTGAAAAGCATCAACAAGAATTTAGTATTAGGCTAAATAGAAAACATATTTTAGAATATTATCACATAAAATATATCATGCAATACTGAATGAAGCATCTTTTTTTTTTGGCAGGGGGGTCCAGTTGTGGTGCCTGAACTCTGGGCCTACGTGCTGTCCCTCAGCTCTTCAGCTCAAGGCTAGTGCTCTACCACTTGAGCCACAACACCACTTCTGGCTTTTTTTTCTGTTTATGTGGTGCTGAGGAATTGAACCCAGGGCCTCATGCATGCAAGGCAAGCGTTCTACCACTGAGCCACCTTCCCAGCCCCCTGAAGCATCATATTTATATGAAGTATTTTGCACACCAAAGAAAGTTCTTTTTCATTAACATCAATTCATTGTACAGGGCATTTCATTTTTACATGTCCATATGTGCATGTGATGTACTTTGATCTGTCATTCTTCCTCATCTATATATTCCCCGGCCCAAACCAATCTCAACCAGCTTCATTGCTCCATGATCACAAACACACATAAAGTATTTTGATCTTATGCTTCCTCTTTCTCTCTTTTGGTTCGCCCTCTCTCCCTGCCCCACACCTAGCACCACATCCAACAGGACATGTTTTCCGCATCTAACATGAAGGGGTTAACATTGACCAAGATATATGACATTCATAAACTGCTTTGTTAAGTGGCAACTCCTTTGCCCAACTACTTAACGATGTAAGATAAGGTAAAAAATAAAAGGTCATGCAAAAAAATGCATGTTCATTTTTCAAAGGGGATTCACACATGCATATACCATGCTTTACTCAGATTGATCATATGAATTGCATAGTGTAATTTTATATAATAGTATTATTGTATATTATACATTAATGGCCTCTAGACCCATCTACATTCTTGAAAATGACATGTGGCTATTCTTTTATGTCTGGCCACTGTCATGGTGTAGATGTACCTCATCTTGATCCATTCATCAGTTGTAGAGCATCTGGGCTGTTTCCATTGCTTGACTGCTATGCTGCAACAAACATGGGTATGCAGTGCCTTTCTTATATCCTGAGTTACATTTCTTTGGATATCATATAATACTGAATGAAGCTTCAAATAACTGTGAAGAATTCTGCATGCCAAAGAAAATTATTGCTAGATTACATTAAATAAAAACTTATTCCTGCAATCTCAGCTACTTGGGAGACAGTGGTTGGGAATATCATTGTTGAAGGCCAGCCTGAGCAAAAACCAGAGAGGCTCCATCTTATCAGACATGGTATATTATAACACATACCTATAATCTCCAGGTGGAAGTAGGAAGATGGAAGGCCAAGATGTCCCAGACAAAAAGTACAAAAATCCTATCTGAAAACATAAAGAAAAAATGGCTTTAAACATATCTTAAGTCGTAGAGCACTTACTTGTCTAGCAAGCACAAGGCCTTGAGTTCAAGCTCAAACAATAAACACATAAGTGATTAAATAAATAAATGAATTTAAAACAAGGGAAAGTAAGAAGTGGACTACTGGGAAGGTAAAAAGGGCAAGAGGAAGGAGAAGACTAGTAGCAGTACTAAAGGGGAGAAATGTGACCAAATTACATTATTATAAGCATGATTGTAAATATCATGGTGACAGCTTTTTCTTTGCACTATCAGTATACGTTAATAAAAAAAATTCTTAAGAAATAAATATCATTATGTGATATGTCAGTAGATAAAGAAAAGCTTACAACCATATTCTCTAAATATTAATCATGTTTCATGGGAATGACTATCTGGAATTACAATATTAATTTATAAAGTATTTTTAAGGAAAAGATGTTATTAAACTAATGAATTTCCATTTTAAAGGCTAAGACAAACAGAATAAAAAGCATAAGCAGTGAACTCATTTTAAAATGAGAAACACTTTGCATGCATGAGGCCCTGAGTTCAAATCCTCAACACGACAATAAGCAGAAAAAGCCGGAAGTGGTGCTGTGGCTCAAGTGGTAGGGCTCTAATCTTGAGCTGAAGAACACAGAGACAGTGCCCAGGCCCAGAGTTCAGGGCCCACAACGGACCAAAAAGAGAGAGCGAGAGAGAAACAATGATGATATGAAAAGCAAGGAGTGAACATTGACAGGAGGGCAGCAATCTGACTGCATGGCTCCATTGATGAGTGCAATGCATCGTGCCCCCGCTCTCTCCCAACCTCACCCATCCTCCTCTCAGAGATTGACATGTTGAACTGAAATCTATTTGAACAACAACTTACAGATAAAAAAAAAAAGCAAAAAACTTTTAAAAAAAAAGGCATAACCAGGAGACAAGGACAATACAAGCAGAATAAGGCAGGAAGCAACAACTTAAAAATGAGGACCAGACACTGGTGGTTCTCATCTGTGATCCTAGC